ACGATTTGTGAGATGGAGCCCCATGTCGAGCTCTGCGCTGACTGCAAGGAGCCTGCTTGGGATTCAATCTCTCCCTCTCTTTCTGCACTTCCCCAACCCCCAGCCCACGTGTATGTGTGTGTACTCGCGCACACTCTCTCTCTCTCTCAAAATAAATGAACATTAAAACAAGATAAAGCACAAAGTTACCAAAACATTTAAAAAATATTAAACTCAAATAGTTTTATCATATGTTCTAGTATCTTTGTTTTACTCATCTTTTTCAGCTTGCTAGGAAGGCTCTAGATTTCTTTTCAATATTTAAAAGCAGATGATATTTCCTCTTTAAAAGTGGTAGAAAAGTCTATTTTAAAATAGAAGCAAAAACTGCTTGAAACATTTTTCCTCTCAAAACAGACCTATATTTGGTATACATTTTATTTATGATATGTGAGATAGAGGATCATAATGAAACAATTTCCTTTTTATAAACAGGTCTCACGGAGACTTATATCCATGGGAAGCATAAGAAATACATTTGTGTGTATGACATACAGATGACACACAATTGCCTTATACAGTACTCCTAATTTAAAAGACTGAATTACATTCACTGACCTATTCTAAATACAACAAACTTCTATCATTTAAAACAAGACAATACTGAGGAGCACCTGGGTGGCTCAATCAGTGAAGCCTCCAGCTCTTGATTTTGGCTCAAGTCATAATCTTGCACTTCGTGGGATCAAGACCAGTGTCAGGCTCTGTGCTGTCAGTGTGGAGTCTGCTTGGGGTTTTCTCTCTCCCATTCTCTCCCTCCCCAGCTCTCACGGACATGTGTGTACTCTCTCTCTCTCTCAAAATAAACATTTAAAAAAGTATTTATGTTCAAAGCATTTCTGTAAATGATACAGAAAATATGCATTTGCACCATAACCAGATAACTATAGGCAACAACTAAGCATAAATAATATACTATCCATTATGAACAAGTTCTAGTCAAGGCTTCACAACATTTAATGGCTGAAAACTAAGGAACACCTAGCAAAAGAAAATGTATTTAAATAAATGCTTTCATGTGAAAAGAAAAGGTTCACTTAGCAAACCCTCAGCAATACTGACCATAAAGACAACATTACAGATCAGTCTCATACTTCAGGAGGATTCTGTCTCCTTGGCCTGCCTCAAAGAGCTCACTGTAAATTGATTACATTTATGCTGCTTCTCAACAGAAGCAAAGTTCATAGCTTTGCATGTAATGGCATCTTGCCAGGCTACAAGCCATCTCAAAACATAATTTGTATTTATCATTTCTACTCTTTGATCATGACAGCATAAGAAAGACTGCCTTCTCAAATGCACAAATGTACTCAAAGTGCACTTTCCAACTTACACCTAGGAATGTCCTTGCTCTCTGTAATGTGTTACTGAAGAAGAGCTCAAGACTTTCTTAATAAAATCTAGATGTCAATGAAAGTTTCTAAGTCATGAAAGGCTATTTGAAAGCTATTAGATAAATTCTATCTTACTTATTATAATTAATTTTAAGTACACTTTATGCTGAATAATTCAAAGAATATCTTTAAGCAAATTTATAATGTACAGAGTTCAGCCTTGCCAATATGGAGACTTAATTAAAAAAAAATAAAAAGAAAACTATTACACCTCTGACCAGAGATAAAATGTACATGATTTTAGGCTTTCTAACAAAATACTTAAAATTTCTTACAAAACCATAACTCTTCTTTCCTTAAAAATACGTTCTCTAGAATACAAAACTGGAAAACAAATTTGAACAATTACACCTAAAAAATGATCTTTCAGTGTAAAACATTTTCTCACAGACCCAAGGATACCAAAAATTATGACATGTAACCCAAAACAGAAGGCTAGGATATAAAAAACATACTGTAAAAGACTAGATCACCTGAAGAACCATTAGGTCACAATCATGTAAGAGAGAACATCTATACAAAAGTTTTAAAAAGAAAAAAAATAAATACAGGCAATAGAATTAAGTTAAAAATAAAAATGAAAAGTAGGTACATTTTCATAAAAGGACATAAAAACTTTGTGAACACTGTAACCTCTATAGAAATACAGGCATACCCCAGAGATATTGTGGGTTCAGTTCCAGACCACTATAATAAAGCAAATGTTGCAATAGTGAGTCAAATGAATTTTGTGGTTTGCCAGTGCATATAAAGATTATGTTTACACCATACAGCAGTCTATTTAAAGTGTGCAATAGCATTGTCTAAAAAAACAATGTACATACCTTAATTTAAAAATACAGTATTTATTGCTAAAAAATGCTAACCATCATCTGAGCTTTTAGCAAACCGTAATTTTTTTGCTGGTGGAGGGTCTTGCCTTGATGTTGATGGTTGCTGACTGATCAGGGTGGTGGTTGCTGAAGGCTGGGATGGCTGTGGCAATTTCTTAAAGTAAGACAATAATGAAATTTGCCGCATTGATGGACTCTTCCTTTCACGAACAATTTCTCTGTAGCATGCGATACTGTTTGATAGCATTTTACCCACAGTAGAACTTCTTTCAAAATTAGAGTCAATTCTCTCAAACCCTGCTGCTGCTTTATCAACTAAGTTTATGTAATATTCTAAATCCTTCGTTGTCATTTCAACAATCTTTACATCATCTTCACCAGGAGTAGATTCCATCTCAAGAAACCACTTTCTTTGCTCATCCATAGGAAGTAATTCCTCATCCATTACAGTTTTATCATGAGATTGCAACAATTCAGTCACATCTTCAGGCTCCACTTCTAATTCTAATTCTCTGGCTATTTTTACCACATCTGCAGTTACTTCATCCACTGAAGTCTTAAACCCTTCAAAGTCATCCATGAGGGATGGAATCAACTTCTTCCAAACTCCTGTTAGTGTTGATATTTTGACCTCTTCCCATGAATCACGAATGTTCTTAATGGCATCTAGAATGGTGAATCCTTTCCAGAAGGTTTTCAATTTACTTTGCCCAGATCCATCAGAGGAATCACTATCTATGGCAGCTATAGCCTTACGAAATGTATTTCTTAAATAATAAGACTTGAAAGTTGAAATGACTCCTTGATCCATGGGTTGGAGAATAGATGTTGAGTTAGCAGGCAGGAAAACAACATTAATCTCGTTGTACATCTCCATCAGAGCTCTTGGGTGACCAGGTGCATTGTCAATGAGCAATAATATTTTGAAAGGAATCTTTTTTTCTGAACAGTAGTTCTCAACTGTGGGCTTAAAATATTCAGTAAACCATGTTGTAAACAGATGTGCTGTCATGCAGGCTCTGTTGTTCCATTTATAGAGGACAGGCAGGGTAGATTTAGCATAATTCTTAAGGGCCCTAGGATTTTCAGAATGATAAATGAGCATTGGCTTCAACTTAAAGTCACCAGCTGCATTAGCCCCTAACAGGAGAGTCAGCCTGTCCTTTGAAGCTTTGAAGCCAGGCATTGACTTCTCTTCTCTAGCTATGAAAGTCCTAGATGGCATCTTTCTTCCAATATAAGGCTGTTTCATCTACATTGAAAATCTGTTGTTTAGTGTAGCCACCTTCGTTAATGATCTTAGACAGATCTTCTGGATAACTTGCTGCAGTTTCTACATCAGTATTTGCTACTTCACCTTGTACTTTTATGTTACAGAGACGGCTTCTTTCCTTAAACCTCATGAACCAACCTCTGCTAGCTTCAAACTTTTCTTCTGCAGCTTCCTCACCTCTCTCAGCCTTCATAGAATTGAAGAGAGTTAAGGCCTTGCTCTGGATTAGGCTCTGGCTCAAGGGAATGTTGTGAGTGGTTTGATCTTCTATCCAGACCACTAAAACTTTCTCCATATCCGCAATAAGGCTGTTTCGCTTTCTTATCATTCGCGTGTTCACTGGAGTACCACTTTTAATTTCTTTCAAGAACTTATCCTTTGCATTTACAACCTGGCTAACAGTTTGGCGCAAGAGGCCTAATTTCCGACCTATCTCCGCTTTTGACATGCCTTCCTCACTAAGCTTAATCATTTCTAGCTTTTGATTTAAAGTGAGAGACATACGACTCTTCCTTTCACTTGAGCACTTAGAGGCCATTGTAGGGTTATTAATTGGCCTAATTTCAATATTGTTGTGTCTCAGGAAATAGGGAGGCCCAAGAAGGAGAGATGGGGGAAGGGCCAACTGGTAGAACAGTTACGTCACATGCAGTATTTATCAATTAAGTTCACCATATTACAGAGGCATGGTTCATGGCACCCCCCAAACAATTACAACAGTAACATCAAAGATCACTGATCACAGATCACCATAACAAATAGAATTATAATGAACAAATTTGAAACATTGTGAGATTTACCAAAATGCAATACAGAGATACAAAGTGAGAAAATGCTGCTGGGAAAATGGTGCCCAAAGACTTCTTTGATGCAGGGTTACCACTCTCGATTTCTAAAATACAAATCGTCTGCGAAGCACAATAAAGTGAAGCGCAATAAAACGAAGTATGCCTATATTGTGTCAACCTTCAGATTTTGGTTATCTCTTTTGGGAGGTTTAAGATATTAGTTTTTAATCCCAAATTTTTTACATAGAAATTTACCTCCCTCTGAAATAGTAAGTCAAGTAGCACTTGGAAGTGGTTTTTCCCTTCATGGAAGTGGTTGCTGGCATAGAAAAATACTAAAAGTCTTCATCAACTGATTTAATCTTTTCATGCTCTAATAAAGATTTCAAATGTAAACCTTTTTCTTCTACAGAAACCAATTATTGGTAATACATTATTTCCTCTTAGCAAATCAAAGAAGCATCCAATCCCACATTATAATACCAAGGAAAACATGACATGATTTAAAAACATATTTGTACACTAGCTCAAGACAATCAATTAACCTCCACTTCCACTTGAAAAACGCAAGACAAAAGGAAGTTTTTACTAGTCTACTCTTCAAAACTGCGGACAGGTGGCTGTGGGGGCCAGTTCAGAAATTACAGTTGTCCATTATCTGCTGGAATGTAACTCATGAACTGTCACCCTTTTCTAATTCCTGTATGTTGTCACACTCATTGCTTTCCTTGCCCTCTTGGTATGTACGAAGCTGCTCCATGAAGCCCGCATTTGGACATATGGAAGGCCTTGCATTTTTCACCAAAGAAAAAGCACTGATGAACGAGATTTCTTCAGAATTCATCAGGAAACCTATTACAATTGCAGCAGCCCTGGAAACTCCTGCATTACAATGAACAAGAACCACGCCATCCTGCAATAAAAATCAATCAAAAATCTTCATTATTCACCTAGAAAGTTGTTAAATCAGTTGCACATTCTTATACTACTTGAAATTATAAAATAAAAATATTCATTTTATCAATTTGTTTGATTCAACATATTCAATTACCAAAATACAATTCATTGTGAGCAATGAATGGAATAATCAATTAATCAATTTTAGGCACATAGTGGATATTCCATAAATGTTTGCTAAGAAAATAAATTTTGTTCTGCTAAGAAGGAAGTGTTCTCTTAAAAATTTGAATCACCATTTTGCCACGGGCAGACAGGAATTGTGTGACAGTGTACCTGTTTTATCAAGTGTTCTGTGTTCTCGTGCTGTTAGGAGTAGCTTTTCAACTAGATTGCAAGCTCCTTGAGGGAAGCACTATGTATCCTTCATATCTTCTCAGAATAAGTAATTAATATTTGTTGGCAGATTAACTGAGCCAAGTGTAGGTCTTTTTTAAGTGAGTCTTCTGATATACAAAAAAATTTCTCAAACTGCTAACAGTAGTTATGTCTAAATGATTTAAGTAGGGCGAATTTCTACTTATCTGTATTTTCCAATTTTTCTACAGTGACATACCTTATTTACATCATGTCTTTGAAATCCCATCTTATAAAATGAGTAATAAAGTAAACATGGAATATCAAATAACACATTTTCATATTAACAAACAAAACCTTTTACAACTTAAAAAAAGGGGGGAAGACAAGTAAATTTTCATAAAAGAACTCCTGAGGCTATAGAAGTTACACTGCTACTTTCCTCTCATGTGTATTTCTGTTACTTAAGGCATATACCTAACAACTGATGTTGGGGTCAGAGGTAGAGGAAGACAGAGAAACCAAACAACAGGGTTTTACAACTACAGAATGAGGAAGGACATGGGGAAATAGAAGAGATTCCATTTGGCAGCTGTGTATAAAAAGATAAAACAAGAAACTATGGCCTAGAAAAGTAGTTTTGAAATATGCAATTCATTGAGTAATCACATTTAATAAAACCTGCATATACAACAGACAAGGTTATGAAAAGATCTCTTCCAGAAAAAAAAAAATGAAGAAAATTCAAGAATGCTAATGCTGAAACTAAAAAGTATTAATCTAAACAGTAAAGAATTTTCAGGGTAAGGAAATATTGGCTGAGGTTACAACTGCGGTGTAAGATATAACGCTTGAGAGATTGGAACAAATTGTGGAATTCTAATACGTCTTGTAGCAGAAACATTTTAGGTACCTCCTCAGATTCTCTTAGTGTTATTATCTCATGGGCCCCAAGCTTGCTCCATCTCAGCCTCCACTTCTGTGGAACCACCCCTTAGGCCTAATGAGTTTTGCTTGCCTAAGAAGGCCTGGCTCTTCCCTATTATGGTCTCTGCATAGACAAGTACACCCCAAGTTCTGGATTCTCTTGCTGCTTCTGAACTTGGATGAAAAGTTACACCACAGGCCACTGAATCTGGCTTCAAGGCAGCTGCTGGAGGAGTGCTGTAACCTGGAACTGTGGGATTAGTTACCATCCCATGGGTAAACTTTTCCCCAGGGGAAAACAGGAGCTGACAGAGAGCCAGGCAGATAAATTCTCTCTTCTTTCCCTCCCAAAGTCTATACTGAGGTACAGTTCCTTTGTGCTCCCTGCCTGGAGATGCCTTAAGTGGTAAAGCAGGTATACATGCTGAGCACACAGCTATTTCACCGTCAGCTCAACTGTGCGGCTGTGCTCAGTAGGGTGAACACACCATCTCGTGCTGCTTCTCATCAGTCCCTGAATCGATTCCCGTTCTTCCCGCTTTCACCACCCATGGATTCTCTCAAATGAAGCATCAGCTACTAATCTTTGTCTCAGGTTCTGTTTTTTTAGGAAACCCAAGCAAAGGACCCTTTTAATTAACTATTACCCTTTTCACATTTTACTTGCAACATGTATGTATCTTTTAATGATGAATATCAATATGGATTATGCCTAAATTTTTCTTTTACCATTTAAGGCCTATCTCACATCGCCTTAGGGAAGCAGCTAATACAGAAACATTATCATTTTTATTTCTGACACTATCAACTGACACACTGGAATGTTATCATCTAGACCCTATAAAATCTTTCATAAGAGAAAACACTGGCCAATATTAGGGCTTGAATTAGAAAACCTCTTTGTTTTCTTTAGTCTAAATATCCGCTATTAAACAAAGCTGAAAGGTAGAGGTGAATAGTTCTACATTTTTCAGACAATCTAAAGGAAAGTACCTAGAATAGTACTGGGCACGTAAGGCATTCATTAAATATTACTAAATAAAAGGAAGGGAGAGAGACGGAGAAATGAGAGGAGAAAGGTAGAAGGGAAATCATTAGCCAGAATTCAATTAAGCTGGATTCTAATGTTCATGTCAGTAATTATTAGGTCTTCTAGGAGAATAAACTTTTCTAAGTGCTTCTACATTCCCATCTATTTACCTCACATAAATTTTGTAAGAATTGTATACTAACTAAAAATGGTGTCATTTCTCAGTCGGTTAAGCATCCGACTTCGGCTCAGGTCATGATCTCACAGCTTGTGGGTTCGAGCCCTCCTGGGCTGTGCTGACGCTCAAGCTGGAGCCTGTTTCTGATTCTAGTGTCTCCCTCTCTGACCCCCCCTGTTCATGCTCTGTCTCTGTCTCAAAAATAAAATAAAACGTTAAAAAAAAAAAAAAAAAATAGGAGTTGTGGTGAGCTCGTCGTGTTATCCAACATCCGACCAGGTCTTCAAGGCGCCACAGCTTGTGGGTTCGAGCCCCATGTCAGGCTCTGTGCTGACTGCTCAGAGCCTGGAGCCTGTTTTAGATTCTGTGTCCTCTCTCTCTGACCCTCCCCCGTTCATGCTCTGTCTCTGTCTCAAAAATAAATAAACGTTAAAAAAAAAAAATTTTTTTTTAAAAATGGTGTCATTTCAAGGTATAATTACTGGTAATAGCTAACTTAGAAGCCCAGTTTGACCTGGACCTATTACCAATGTTGAAGTATTATATTATCTGTTGGTCTTTTAAAGTCAAGAACCAACGGACAGCTTCTGAGCAGCATTTTCACACAATCTCAGTAAAGCAATACATTTAGTCCTGGAGTACCCTATAATTTTCTATTGTTAAAAATGCATAGATTCACTGTCCCTATCACAGCCATAAAAATGAATGCATATTAATCTTCATAAATACACTAAAAGGACAATACTAGTATCTATCACATACGGCAGGTGGTTATAAACCATCAAAGGAAATCTAAGTAAACATAAACACAGGAAAATTCAGTAAATGGAGAATTTTATCTCCTAACATTTCTCAGGAAGCCCTAGGAAGATAATATATTAAGGTTAAAAGTGAGTAACTCATTGAGTGACTCCTGGCTGGCTCAGTCAGTAGAGCATGTGACTTTTGATCTCAGGATCATGAGTTCAAGCCCCATGTTGGGCATTGAGATTACTTAAAAAATAAAAAATAAGTTATCTCATTGAGAAAAAAATATCAGAGAACTAAAGAGCTGTAAGAATTAAAAGATTGTTGAAGGGGAAATTTCATAATGGGTCTCTATGTATTAATCAGAAAAAGAATAAAGCTTAGATAACGGACCTGTATTTTAAAATTGCTGTCTTTGAAGAACTGTGGATCAAAATAAAACTTACCTTCATTTTTGCTTGTTCAATAAATTCAAAACATTCTGGAAAATAAGACAGGATATTGGTTTCAGGCAGATCCAATATAGAAATACTCTTATATATAAAGTCACTGAGGAAAGTATTTTCAACTCCATATGCAACATTGAGAATATGTGTCACCTTAAAGGGGAAAAAGAAAGATGATTTTTAAAAATTCTCTAATGAATTAAAATTAGGTTAATTAAAAAGAGAATGAGATGTTGAGATTTGTAATAAGAATAAACAAACAATTCAAGCATGACTCACTTGAATAATACTTCCTACAGGAAGCTTCCTCTGACTGCCTCATCCCTCACCAGAAGTGCTAATTCTGTACACTCTCACAGCACCCTCTACTTGCCCTAATTATAGCTCTTACCACTTTGACATTATTTGTCTCCCTCATGGTACTAGAAACTCCATGAGGGGAGGAACCATGTTTGGCTTCTTCAGTATTATGAGTAAGCACTGTGTGTGAGCAATGACCTTAGCACAAAAAGTACTTAAAATATTTGTTGGGTAAATCAATGAATATGCATATAAAAAACTTGAGTAAGGGAAGTACATCAATAACACAGACTTCTTTTTCAATAATTATTTTCCGATTTTCCTTCATATTCTTTAGTAGTATGACGGTTCTCAAGTGTGGCTGCACATTAGAATCACCCAGTTAACTTTTAAAATGTCAGTGCCACAGGGCCTCAAACCTAGAGACTCCAATGAATTAGTCTGGTTGAAAGGATGGTCATTTATTTCAAATGGTCCACAAAAGCAACCTTCTACCCATCTATGCATTTGAGCTTCTTTCCTACAGTCTACCAAGCATATGGAAGGGGCCATGTGGAAGGTTAATTAAAAGAATCCAAAAGTTAAATGGATAAAGAAAATAGGGCACTGTTTCTTGTCATGACATGCCTCACCATATTCTCTTTCTTAGCATGGGTGTTCGGTTTTACCCATCTCGATATTTTCGTGTATTTCACACGTATTTTATTTTTAATTTTTAAACTTTTTAAAGGTTTATTTATTTAGGGGTGCCTAGGTGGCTCAGTCGGTTGGGCAGCCAACTTCGGCTCAGGTCATGATCTTGCGGTCCGTGAGTTCGAGCCCCACGTCGGGCTCTGTGCTGACAGCTCGCAGCCTGGAGCCTGTTTCGGATTCTGTGTCTCCCTCTCTCTGACCCTCCCCTGTTCATGCTCTGTCTCTCCCTGTCTCAAAAATAAATAAAACGTTAAAAAAAAAAAATTTTAAGTTTATTTATTTAAATAAGCTCTACACCCAAAGTGGGGCTCAAACTCACAATACTGAGATCAAGAGCCGCACATTCCACCAACTGAGCCAGCCAGGTGCCCCTTACACACTTTAGAGTATCTTCCAGCTCTGCCTCTCTTGCCTCCACTACCCTCATAGACATGGCTGTGGCAGCGCCCCACTTCTCCACCTAGTACAGCTAACTAGATTGAGGCAGACACCAGACTTAAACAACACTGATCAAATTATTTTCAGAAATTTAAAATAGGTACACAAGACAGCTGAATGGTCCGCAAACTTGAGAGGTCTAAGATAGCTGCTTTCTATTATGTGCCCAAAGAAGCTGAAGACTTTCTGCTCCTAAATAAGAACAGAGTAGATACCTGTGCAGAAAGGGGCCATGATGCCAGCAGCAGAGAGGGACCATCTTGGAGAGCCTTCTATTCTCTAGCACAGCCAGTCTCTGCCCTCAGATTCCAGAGATTCCCCCTAAATTGCTATACACACATTCTCTTTTCTTGCTAGGGTTTCTGTGCCTCCCAACCCAAAGAGCATTGATTAAAACATTCCGGGAGCTAGGCCCCATGAAGACAGAGCCACAGGCCATTCATTTACTGACCTAACTGCCTTGTAGAAGACAGACAACAGAAAAAACCTCAAATGTCTACTCAAGAGACATTCTTATATAGAGATGAGATGGGAGAAACTAGAAAGGTAAGAACATTTTTAGAAGATAAAGTCTGAAATGTCCTTCTGCTTTCCCCAGTGAAGTCTTGTCTATGTCAACTCACTCATTGCCAGTGTACTTCTGACCAGGATTATATGATTCTGCCCTGGATAATATATACAATATATATAAATACAATATATATATTGTACCTATATATACAATGTGCATATGTATATATATATACAATTCATATATATAAATTTTATATATAAATTTATATATATAAATTATATATATATATATGCACATTGTTTATAAATTTTATATATAAATTTATATATATAAATTGTATATATATATATACACACACACACACACACACAATATAAGATATATATAACTTATTACCTATTACCTATGTATCTTCACAGGATTATGGAGAAAACCAAATGAGAATCTTAGGAAAACCTCTTGAAAGGTAAAAGTGCTTTACAAATATTATGGATTACCAATGCCTGGGTAGTTTAGCTGTTGGGAAGTGCAATTTATATGTGTATTGACTGGGCCTGATAGAAAAGAATTGTACTGAATCACAGGTGGTGGTGGTGATGGGGACCCAGCCTAAAACCCTTTCTAGTAATTAAGCATACTTCCAAAATGTAGGTATGGAGGTCCTAACAATGGTTGCCCTTGGGATGCCCTTTGTAATAGGGATAATAAGAAAAACCACTTTATTGCAAACCTAATGTATGCTAGGCCTATAAGTTATCTCACCTAATCCTCACATATAGGCATTATTATTTCTAATTTTAGTAAACTTACATATTGTGAACTGGTTCAAAAATCAGAACATTATAAAAAAGAAACGAAGTTTTGCTCTCACCCTGTCCCTATCTACTCCGTTTTCTCCTACCTTAATGGTAACCACCTTTGTTGGCGTCTTGTGTATTCTTTTAGAGCATCTTCAGGCAAATTTGTTTATTCCCTTTCCTACACAAAGACAACACCCTGGGTTCTCCTCTCATTTAAATATGTGCTCAACTCCTGGTGGGAATGCAAACTGGTGCAGCCACTCTGGAAAACAGTATGGAGGTCCCTCAAAAAATTAAATATATAACTATCCTACGACCCAGGAATTGCACTACTAGTTATTTACCCAAGGGATACAGGTGTGCTATTTTGAAGGGGTACACGCACCCCAATGTTTATAGCAGCGCTACCTACAATAGCCAAAGTATGGAAAGAGGTCAAATGTCCATCTACTGATGAATGGATAAAGAAGATGTGGTATGTGTATGTACACACACACACAATGGAGTATTACTCAGCAATCAAAAAGAATGAAATCTTGCCATTTGCAACTACATGGATCGAACTAAAGGGGATTATGCTAAGCAAAATTAGTCAGAGAAAGAAAAATATCATGACTTCACTCATATGTGGAATTTAAGATACAAAACAGATGAACATAAGGGAAGGGAAGCAAAAATAATATGAAAACAGAAAGGGGGGCAAAACATAAACTCTTAAATATAGAGAATAAACTGGGGGTTGTTGGAGGGGTTGTAGGTGAGGAAATGGGCTTAATGGGTAAGGGGCATTAAGGAAGACACTTGTTGGGATGAGCACTGGGTGTTATACATAGGGAATGAATCACTGGAATCCACTCCTGCAATCATTATTGCACTATATGCTATCTACGCTATCTATAGATATAGATAGATAGATAGATAGATATAGATAGATAGATAGATAGATAGATAGATATAGATATTGATATGTAAGTAAGGGTTGCCTGGGTGGCTCAGTCGGTTAAGCATCCGACTTCAGCTCAGGTCATGATCTCACGGTTAGTGGGTTCAAGCTCTGTGTCAGGCTCTGTGCTGACAGCTCAGAACATGGAGCCTGCTTTGGATTCTGTGTCTCCCTCTCTCTCTGTTCCTCCCCCACTCACACTCAGTCTCACTGTCTCTCAAAAATAAAGAATAAGAAAAATTAAAAATAAATAAAATAAAAAATAAATGTCCTGGAAATTTTTTTAGATTAGTATTTACAGACTCTTTTTTTTTTGGTGTTCTTTTTTATAGCTATATAGTTCTGTAGTGTGAGTGTACTATTATTTAACCAATTCCCTATCTATGAACATGTGAGTTTTTGTCAATGATTTGCTGTTAATAAACAATGCAACAATAAGTAACTTGGGACATTTTATGTTTCAGTTTTCTATCTTCCATAGTACTTTGTTGGACACACACCAAGCACTTGGGTACCTTATTAACAAAGCAACTATTATTACTATATCTAAACAGTAAAATGAAATTCCTAATGAAATTTCTGAAATGATCCTCAAAAGAATTTCTATTAATTATAGCACTTAAGTCTTAGAATAATATGCCTTTGAAATGTGCCACGCATTTAAATCAATAATCATGTTTTGTAGAGTCACTAAATTTTTCAATAAACCCTCTATTCAGCTGGTCAGTTTACCTTAAAAGGATCTTTTAAACACCTGCTTGCTTCACATCGCCAGATGAAAGTGAATTTGAACTAATGTATCATAAAAGGGGATAGATAATGAAACATTTGCCAATGAATAAATTTTATCATTTTTTCTAGTTTCCATTTTTTCTCTGAGAAGTATTAATTTGCTAGTGTAAACAAGACTCTGAAACTTGTCCTACTTATGTTAAAATATTGATCTAAGATGGATGCTATTAGGAAACACAGTACTTCTCATATCCTTATGCAATTCCAGGCTATTATCTCTTCTTGTCAGCCAGTTATTATTATAACTGTTACTGCAACTGCCTTGTAACTACTCTCCCCATCTTTAGTTTATGCAACACTCCGATCTATTTTCCACATGGCCTCTACCAAGCAACCTTACCAAACTGCAAATTTGATCCTGTTACTTCCCTGGGTAAAGACTTTCACATACTTTTGGATAAAGTCCAACAGTTTACCCAGGCTTACATGGATTTTTGTGATCTGATTCATGCTTACATCCCTGGCCTTGTTTCTGGGTATCCTTCTTTGTCACTCTCTATTCCAGGGTTACTGAACTTTTTTTCCGTCTCTGAAAACATCAGCCTTTCTCTTCTGGGGCTGCACACAAACCACTTCTCTTATCTGAACACTTTTCTGTCTGCTCCCTCCCCACCCCATTCAGAGCAAACTTCAATAGCACTTCCTTCATCACTTCCCTGACCTTACAATCCCCTACCCAACCCAACTCAATCCAAACATGGAGGGCATCATCTCACATGCTCTCCAGTAGCACCTGCATTTCCCCATCAAAGAACATTATACCCTGGACTGAAGGTGCTTATTTGTTGTTCTCTCCTCTACCCTCTGCTCCAGAAGCTTCATGTTAATAAACCACAGCAATTCCATGATGCCAAAACACTGCTGGACAAAATAGAGGGCTAAAATAAGTAATAAATCACATCAGTTGTGTGGGAAGTGTGGGGGAAGATGGCATTGGGGAAGAAGTGGTATTTGAGTTGGGACTCAGGCATGGATATGTCTTGGATGAGAAGAGAAGAGAGGAAAGTCCATCCCACACAAAGGAAGTACATAAGCAGAGGCAAGAAAACATGCCTCAAAGTCAGGTTCATGAGGGTCCATGAAGGGAGACTGAGAGAATATAAAATTGGAAAGATGAATTATAAATCCATATATTTAATTAGGTATAATAATTTTTGCAACTTTATTAAAATGACAGCCAGAATGTTACCAATTAAATTCTGAAATGGACTAATAGTTTCCTAAATAAATGTAACAATTATGCAATCCCTATCAAAATAACACCAGCATTCTTCACAGAGCTAGAACAAACAATCCTAAAATTTGTATGGAACCAGAAAAGACCCCGAATAGCCAAAGTAATCTTGAAAAATAAAACCACAGCAGGAGGCATCACAATCCTGGACTTCAAGCTGTATTACAAAGCTGTAATCAAGACAGTATGGTACTGGCACGAAAACAGGCACTCAGGTCAATGGAACAGAAGAGAGAACCAAGAAATGGATCCACAAACGTATGGTCAACTTATCTTTGACAAAGCAGGAAAGAATATCCAATGGAATAAAGATAGTCTTTTCAGCAAGTGGTGCTGGGAAACCTGGACAGTAACATGCAGAAGAACGAACCTGGACCACTTTCTTACACCATACACAAAAATAAACTCAAAATGGATGAAAGACCTAAACATAAGACAAGAAGCCATCAAAATCCTAGAGAAGAGGTGTGCCTGGGTGGCTCAGCCAGTTAAGTGTCTGACTTCGGCTCAGGTTGTGATCTCACATGAGATCATGTGGGCTTGACTTCGAGCCCCGTTGTTGGGCTCTGTGCTGACAGTTCCAAGCCTAAAGCCTGCTTCAGATCCTGTGTCTCCCTCTCTCTCTGCCCCTCCCCTGCTTGCACTGTCTCTGTCTCTCTCTCTCAAAAGTAAATAAAAAATATTAATTTTAATAAAAATTTTTAAAAATCCTAGAGGAGAAAGCAGGCAAAAACCTCTTTGACCTCAGCTGCAGCAACTTCTTACTCAACACATCTCTGGAGGCAAGGGAAACAAAAGCAAAAATGAACTATACTGGGACCTCATCAAAATAAAAAGCTTCTGCACAGTGAAAGAAACAATCAGCAAAAATAAAAGGCAACCGATGAAATGCGAGAAGATATTTGCAAATGACATTATCAGATAAAGGGTTAGTATCCAAAATCTATAAAAAAACTTATCCAACTCAACACCCAGAAAACAAATAATCCATTGAAGAAATTGGAAAAAGACATGAATAGACACTTCTCCAAAGAAGACATCCAGATGGCCAACTGACACATGAAAAAATGCTCAACATCACTCATCATCAGGGAAATGCACATCAAAATCACCATGAGCTACCACCTCACACCTGTCAGAACGGCTAACCGTAACAACTCAGGCAACAACAGATGTTGGCGAGGATGTGGAGAAAGAGGATCTCCTTTGCACTGCTGGTGGGAATGCAAACTGGTGCAGCCACTCTGGAAAACAGTATGGAGGTTCCTCGAAAAATTAAAAATAGAACAACCCTACGACCCAGCAATTGCACTAGTAGGTGTGTATCCAAGGGATACACGTATGCTGTTTCAAAGAGGCACATGAACTCCAACGTTTACAGCAGCACTATTGACCACAACCAAAGTATGGAAGGAGCCCAAATGTCCAGCTACGGATGAAAGGATAAAGAAGATGTGGTATATATATATATATATAATGGAGTATTACTCAGCTATCAAAAAGAATGAAATCTTGCCATTTGCAACTATGTGGATGGAACTGCAGGGTATTATGCTAAGCTAAATTAGTCAGAGAAAGATAAATATCATATGATTTCATTCATGTGAGAAATTTAAGATACAAAACAGATGAACATAAGGGAAGGGAAGCAAAAATAATACAAAAACAGGGAGGGGACAAAACAGAAGAGACTCATAAATATGGAGAACAACAGAGGGTTACTGGAGGAGTAGTGGGAGGGGCATGGGCTAAATGGGTAAAGGCACTAAGGCATCTACTCCTGAAATCATTGTTGCACTATATGCTAACTTGGGATGTAAATTTAGAAAATAATAATAATTATTTTTTAAAAATTTAATATATTCAAAAAAATTAAAATTCAAATTTAAAAAAATGTAACAATTAAAATATTTTCTATACATGGCTGCAGACCTGAAGCATTTTTACCTTGTGCTTTTTCAGAGTATCCAGATCGTGAGCAGCATCTTGTGACCCTATAAGAAATAAATCATATCACCTTCAACATGAAAATAATCATCCGGACTTTTAATATAATTTTTGCAGGAATTCTATTAGTTATTCATTTATTTTAAAAAATACAACTCGGAGAGTACCTGGATGGCTCAGTCAGTTGAATGTCTGACTCTTGATTTTGGCTCAGATCATGATCCCAGGGTCATGGGATTGAGCCCTGTGTCAGGTTCCGTGCTCAGCGTGGAGCCTGCTTAAGATTCTCATTCTATCTCTCAATAAATAAGCAAATAAATAATTTTTAAAAATAAAAATAAAAATGGGGCACCGGGGTGGCTCAGTCGGTTGAGCCCGACTTCAGCTCAGGTCATGGTGCCGCGGTTTTTTAGTTCAAGTACCATATCAGCCTTGCTGCTGTCAGCACAGAGCCTGCTTTGGATCCTCTGTCTCCCTCTCTCTGCCCCTTCCCCACTTGCGTGCTCTCTCTCTCTCAAAAATAAACAAACATTATTTAAAAAAAAAGATTCTTTCTCTTCCTCTGTCTCTCTCCTCGGCTCATGCTCATGCATTCTTTCTAAGATAAAAAATATATAAATAAAATAAAAAATAAAAAATGCAACTTGGGAGGACCTAATTCCAACTTTCTAAAAGACAATTTGGAACTACTCATTAAAAAATATTCATCTTGTATATATCTCATATTCTGAAATCTCACTTCGAACAATTTCTTGCAAGCCCTGGATGTTGCAAAGGTTAGCCATCAGGATGTTCATTGTAGTATTGTTTATAATACAAAAAAAAAAACTCCAAACCCTCAAAACGAGTAAAAAACAACAAAAAGCCTAATAATAGGGGTTGGGTTAAATAAAATATGATACTATTATGTAGTTAAATACATACACCCATTAAAATGAAAATGCTCAGGCACCTGGCTGGCTCATTGGTAAAGCATGTGACTCTTGTAGTCATGAGTTTGAGCCCCACGCTGAGAGCAGAGTTTACTTAAAACAAACAAACAAACAAGAATGTAGAAGAATATTTATGGCATGGAAATATATTCTCAACATATTAGGTGATAATACTATTGTATTACAAAACACCATCATCCATTTCTGTGAAAACAAAAAATACGTATATGCCTAAAAATGAACAGGAAGGATATAGAACAAAATGTTGATAGTGGGATTACAGGTGATTTTCTTCTTTACACTCATTTGTATTTTTACACTACATATCTCTTTCTTTAAAAAAGATTTTTTAATATTTATTTACTTTGAGAGTCAGAGAGAGAGCAGGGGAGGGGCAGAGAGATCTGTGATGTCAGAGCAGAGCCCAACATGGGGCTCAAACCCAAGAACCGTGAGATCATGACCTGAGCCAAAATCAAGAGTCAGATGCTTAACCAACTAAGCCACTGAGGCACCCCAATTATCTACTACTTTTGTAACTTAAAAAAAGATGTTAAAAAACCACCCACAAAATGACTCTGGTTTAGGAATATCTAATAGCTTAGAGCAAACACTGCTGGGTTTATAGATTCCACCCACATTCCCTGCACCAATAGGGCTATCCCCTTTTACAGCTTCTTCCTGTTAAAGTTGGCTCCCCATATCTACCAAACTTGGAAAATGACTCTAGCTAATAACCAAGTTTAAACATGAGATTATTAGTTAAAGTGAGTTACACAATTGAAAAATATAGGGCATTTCTTTTTTAAAGATTTCAAGTATTTTACTTCTCTAGATTAGGATCCATTTCCATAAACAATGTTTTTCTTACCTTACCTATCTGGGGAATCTGCCAGCTTCTGTTAATTGATTTTAGGTAGCTGAAAAGCCAGCAAATCCACTGGTTGGCCAATATTCCCCTGGTAATTGGTAATCGGAAACTCGCGGGCTCCTTACTGAGCCTACATTTAACTTTATACTTAAAAGTTAGCCTATGAAAATATTAATATCTGTTAAAGCTGGATGGTGGATATGCAGCTGTTATATTATTGTCTGTAATTTTCTACACATTTGAAATACTTAAATTAAAAAAATAATTTCTCAATTTTCTGCAGGAAGTCCTAACCACCTCCAGGGGAAAAATGGCTTCAAATAAATTAAATACATATCATCTTTTAAATAATAATTCCACTCTGCCTATTTCTTACAATAGCAAAAAAAAAAAACATGAATAAATGAAATTCTTTCTTCGAACCCTAAACCATCATTATTACACTTATCAAAGCTGGATACTTAGATCATTTCCATTGAACAACATACACCAAACAGAACAGGTTGATTATATATTTCAGAATTAGCTACCCCATTTTGAAAGTCCCTTCCAGAACATGAACCATATTGAAACAAATTTAGTATTCTTGAAGCCAAAAAAAAAAAAAAAAAATACAACTTCTGTGCTCTGCCTTTTCAAATAATAAAATTATATTAGTGTTAATAGTGTGGGGAAACAATTTTAGTTAGCATAAATGGATTTCAGGTAATTAGCTTGTGTGTTTCATCTAATACTTAGTATTACAGTTCAATTCTAAATTCTAGATATAAACATCAGCTTTCCTCCAATTTAAAGTTGTTGATTTGTGTGACAGTCCTGTAGTAAACTCTTATTGGAAAAACACATGGTTAAAAGAAATAAACACTGTAAATCATATATTATGATAATGTGTTACTTAAACCTTTGTTTTAAAAAAGTAGAATGTTATCCTTTTATGCATATCTTAATTTTTAAAAACAAATACAAATTTTAAGAATTTTATTATTATAAAAGTGGCTACATGAATCATAATTATGTTAAAACTCACAGAAGTAAAAAAAAAAAAAAAAAAAACCAAAAAACCTCACAGCACTGAATACCAAGTCAACTTTACTATAGGATAGTTTTGAAAATAATTAAAAAGTTGAATAAGAAACAACAAAGAGAGCCAATAACAACAATTTACAGTTATTTTACCTTGATATTTACAAGCCACTAATATTCATTATTTGGCCAAGGATTATTATGGGAATATAAAGATGAGGTAACTAATTTAGAAAGGATATATATTACATGCTATTGGAGTTGGGACTTCTAACAAGTTCAGTGTTTTGCAATCATAACATATGTATCATAAAAAATAGCTACTTAAGATCTCCAAAATCCTGTTTCTGTTTAAAAGATTCTTTTAGTGAAAATACTAAATATTGTATAAATTCTGATGTAGTATGTCTTAATTTATAAATCACTATTTTCATCATCACAAAAACCAACCAAAAGAAAAAGCATTATTATTGAAAAAGGAAATAAATGATATTCAAAAGAGAAATGTTTTATTTGAGAAAATTTGTAGGAGTGAACATTCATAAATGAATAGAAACAAGAGCATAAATTACTATGCGGATGAGATAACAATATTTATGGAAGAACTGTACAAAATAAAGAGCTATGCAAGTTTAATGTATTATCCACCTCCGAAGAATATTGGGCTTCCTAAATATCAGAAATTTCCATAACCTTATAAAGGACCCTAAGATTTTCACCTAGAATTAAAGAGAAGGGTAGGGACTTCTTAACAGAATGTATACAACAAATAATATGTGTACCTTTTAACTACCCAAGGGAAATGGAATTTTCTACTTTTAAAAATTAAGTTGGTTTTAAGAAAAGTCCTAGTGATTTTGTTGTAAAAATATAATTTGCAAATCCTAGGACATAAATGCTCAATAAGATCTTTTTTGTCAAACTGTTAGATCAAGGGCCTATATAAGATTTTTGGAATGCGGAAGCTGGTTTGAATTTATGAGCTAACTGAAAAAGATTATAGTTCCCCAACAACAAAAAAAGTTAATTTCATATAGTGCTGTGTGGGAGTTGTGATGCTTGAAGAGATAAAGAAAGCTCTTTGAAGCAACATAGAACCAAACCCCATGTCCAGAGAGAAACCTAGTCTGGTCAGACACAACCACTGCATCATTCATGTGGAAGAACTTAAGATGTAATCATCCATGGGTCCCTCAGGAATAAGGCACTTGTTACTAGGCCGAAAAAGGTCCATCTACCTCTCACAGGAAAGGTGGTTGTACCTGACAAAAATATCCCATTTCCTGGCCCAAAGAGGAGACCATATTAAGGACTAGTTTCAGAAGTCTCTCCCAGAACTCTCCCAGGATTGTGGGAAGGGTTCCAACGCCAATCTGAGAACACTACCTTGATCAACTCACTCTGGATAAGTCTAGATAAAAAAATCACCAAGTTTGTGAAAGTGAAATATTTTAAAATTCTACCATAGGTATTTTAAACCATTGGTACTACGATGGAAGGCAAATAACTGAAAAATGTACCTGAGCATATTTTCTTTCCTAGACATGGTGTGTAAGTCCTGAGTGAACCTTTCAGACTTGCTAAATGATCCCTTAATTTTTCACTGGGCTTCAGAAACTAGTTGGAGATACTTATTTGAAGTTAAAGATAGCTCATGCAGCAATTCATGTAATCATAACACAATAACAAATCCTATGTATACTGCCATTAGTTTGTTTCAAAAACTTCACAACCTCAGGACAGCCCTATGAGAGAAACAGATACCTTTACTTCAGTTTTACAGATGGTTTCTTGGAAGACCAGAGAGAATAAATGACTTGGGCTAGTTCATCTATTAAGAGGTAGAGCAGGACTGAAAACCTGGACTCTCCGGGGCAATCTATACGATGATGTAGAGCAGGAGTGGATCAGACTTGAGCCTGATGCCCAGCTCTGTTATTTACTAGGTATGTCACCTTGTGGAAGTTACTTAACCATTGTTAAATCCAGTTCCCACCTGTAAAATGGAGCTGATAATCCCTAATTCAGAGAGTTTTTAAAAGGAGATGCCGTGTGCACTTCACAGTAGTACCTAGCTATTTCTGACTCCCAGTACAGTGCTCCTTCTACTCAAGAATGGCTTGGCTGCATCAATGCTGGGAAATGGTTAATCTTTTCAAGTCTTAATTTCTGCATTCCTAAATGAACACCTACTTGAACACACTGCTGATTTTTTTTTTAAAGAATACCGTAACATATCCTTCCAAGCTAGCAAATTTGTGTTTTCATAACTGTGCTTCATTTGCTATTTGTGGACCATGCTTTGTATAGGGAAACAATATTCTCCATCATACAGGAAAGCATAAAACTATCAGGCTCATAGCTATAAATAAAAACACAATTTCCCCATAACACCCCAAAAACAGGCACATAGATTAATATGGCTACAGGAGCCATGCACTCCATATGACAATCACTTGGCTATTTCAGGTATTAACTTGTCTATAACCTTAACAACCTTGCCACTTGTAGTTTTACCTAATTAAAACATTCTGTTTAATTTGATGATTTTTAAGGCTATGTTCATTTACAATCCAAGAAAATACAACATTAACATGCTGCCCTCCAGAGAAGTAAAAAAACAGGATGAAAGCTTTTCTAAAATCCAGATACCAGGTGCCATGTGCTACCAGAATCTATGCTTCTTGTGGATGGATTGTGGTGCAGAAACATCACTGGCCAGCTAATGGATGTTCCAGATCTAAAAAAGGAAACATTTCAACTTTTCAGCAGGATAGCGGATAGAACAGAATATTACACATGGCGGGGTGGGGGGAATGAGAAAGTAATACGGCTAAAAAGAATCAACGAGATAGTGGCAAATCGATATACTCACCAAGGAGCAACCAAGGCTTAATAACACCAACATGCAGGTCCAAGCTAAGGTCCTGCACATAACCACAACTACCCCCACTGCTCGGCTCTACTTCTTCCACAACATGAATTCTGGCATCTTTCCATGTTTCTATAATTTTCCTTCCAGTTAGCGTTGTCACCCTGGTACATTGCTTCCTGAGATTATTCCGGGAGAACGCTTTAATTTCCTGGTTAAGGGAGTGCATTACATGAGCAGTGGCTAGAAACAATACAAGCAAATCTAGCCAACGGTGGAAAAGGCCAAACTGCTCGTCCCTTAGCGCTCAGAGAAAAAATAGAGCCGCAGGTGTGCAACCCTGTCCAGGTAACTGCAGCCACACACTGCAGACAAAGACCTCCAGGTCCGTTTTCCCCAGCACCAGCAAGTAAGGTGAAGTTTGATTGGCCTTTGAGAAACGGGCCCCGATTGGATGCTGTTTCTTCTTCCGGTCAGCCGAAAATTAGCATTACTTCTACCGTCTCAAGGAATTCGCTAAGAGATTTCTTACTGTTGCTTTTTAAATCTAGCTTTATTTTTCACGTAAAATGGTAAAATAGAAGTCTTAGTTGGAGAGACGTCTGATATTTCCTCACTATTTGAAAGCAGGGATTTTCCTGCTGTGTTTGGTTGGTGTCACTTGTGATAGTGACCGTGAACAAAAAGGGCTGATGTAGGTATTGCTCCTGCTTTAGCGAAGGGGCGAAATCATAGTGCAAACAGTTCTACTTCGCATAGCTTCTCTTGTCTGCCTGGAAATCTGTCAGAAGTAACTTTTCACTTATGTCTTGTACATTTTATGCTATCACTGCTAAGAAAAACGTTTGCTGCATAAGAACTGTTGTATTGAGAGGAGCTTAAGATATGTTTTCCAATTTTTCCCGTTTTCACCATCAGTAGAACCTTTATGCAGTGGATATGCATTCTTTGTAAATAAAGCATTTCCTCAAGTCTTCCATTCATAGTTTCCAAAAAAAAACTGGGCATGCAAACATAAATTTACAAAACAGATCAATTATGAAATGGTGATTCTGCTTTCAAAAGGATGGTTTGTTTTGCAAAAGAAATCCCAAGAATACTTTAAATAGGAATTTTCCTTATCCCACTTAAAATGCATTATCCCACTTAAAATCCAATTTTAAGTGGGCTTACACACAATGTATTTACACATGTGTAAAGAAGTTGCACTTAATGAAAACTTCTCTAACACTGCATATCAAACTTTCTGTTGTTTTGAATTTTTCTGATGTAGAATTAAAATAAACCAAATCTCCCTGTTGAAGAGTGAGCTATAAGCCCAGGCTATCTACAAGACACCCTAAAATGAAGAACTGAAAGCAATGATTTGCACCATTTAAACAATCACAGGTTCATTAAAATCAACTCTAACCACACATTATTCTGTATGTTTATTATACAATGATAAAAGAACTATCAACGCTTGAGCACTTCCTACTTGTTAGGAACTGTGCTTGCAAGCAGTTTTCAGATTCTCACTGTTATCTATCGGTGCTTAATGATGCTTTACACACATTATCCCTTTGATCTCACCACAAGCCTATTATGGGTATTAAAATCATCTACATTTTACAACTAAGCAAACTCAGGTGCAGAGAGAGCAAATAACATATCCTACACTTCACAGCTCCTAAGTTTATAATTACAAATAAAACCTACGTTTGTTTTAGTCCAATGTGTTAGCTCTTATTTTCTTTGGAACAGTGCCCTGCTCCCCCAAAATTATAGTTAACAAATATTTATTGAGTATCTGCTATGTGCCAGGCACTGTCACAGTCACTGGGGATATAGCAATGAATAAAAACAAAGTCCCCTCTTTCTTGGAACTTATATCCAGGTGGAGAGAGCAGATGGACAGGCAATATATAAATATATAACCATGTTAGGTCATGATTTAAGTGCTAAAAAGAAAAATTGAGTAAAATAAGGGAACACAGGAAAAGGGCAATGTGCTACGTGCTATGAGTTGGTAAGAGAAGGCCTCTCTGATAAAGTGAAATTTGAGCAGAGACTTGAATAAAGTTCAAGAGCCAGCCCCTCCAGCCATCTGGGAGATGAACTTTGCGAATGGAAGAAACAGCAAGTGCTGAGACAGAAGTGTAGTGGTGGGAGGAAGGAGATGGAGACGTTCAAGAAACTTACAGGTGGCTAACGTGGCTTGGGGGGGTGAGTGAAGGGAAGAGCGGTAAGAGATGAGTTCAAGGGAAAAATGATAAAGACTTTGGGTTTTATTCTGAGTGAGATGGGAAGCCACTGGAGGGAAATGGGTAGAGGAGTGGTAGATCCTGTGCTGTGCTACCTGGATCCCCCTTCCGTGAATGCCTGTTGTCTGGGTGTGCTTTTGGCTGAAAGTCAAGAATGCCTTTGGGACTGCCTCAGCTTCAGAGACCTCCTTGCCTTCGGTTGTGCCTTTCACAGAACAGGCCACATCCCTGTCCATGATGAGGGAGCATAAAGGTCTGGCATCTTAGCCCAATTTGAAACAACTCTGAAGGGCACTGTAGCTCTACAGGCCAACATGTATTTGGCCAAGACTGTCAGTGGGCACGCATAACCTTTGTACTTCTCTGTCCAGTCCTGATCCTTCCCTTCCCTTCCACAAATGTTGATACCAAGGGCAATCCTTAAAAAAGTCTTGCATGCTGGAACTCCACCCCAGTCTGCTTCCAGGCAAGTAACATGATACTATGCTTATGCTGCAGAAGGATCTTTCTAGCTTCTTTGAGGAGAGGGGGTAAAATGGCAGCAAGGAGATGTGTTAGGAGACTACTGCAAACATCCACATGAGAGAAGATGGCTGTTTGGGCTAGAATAACAGCGGAGGGAGAGGGAACAGTCAGGTTCTAGATATATATGAGAATCAAGCCAAGAGAATTTATGACCAGATTAATGTGGAAGAGACTAGGATAATTATAAGGATTTTTGGCCTGAGCAACTAAAGAGGCGATTTTCCATTTACCAAGAAAGGGGTGATGTGGAGATGAAAGGTTCAGTTGGGGATATGTTAAACTTAATATGCCTATGAATCAACCAAGTAGGTATGTCAAGTGGGCAGCTGAACTATATGAATCTGGACTTCATAGGAAAGATCTCTGCAAGGCGTGTACATTTGGGAGTAATCAGCTTAAAGATGCCTTTTAAAGCCACAAGAGTAGATAAGATCTAGTAAGGAAGAGTGACAGAGAAGCCTCACCCCTCATTCACAGGTGAGGAAGAGGAGGAAGATCCAGCAAAGAAGACTAAGAAGGAGAGGCCCAGAAGATAGGAGGGAAAAGAGAGAGAGAAGTCAGAGAGTACAAATAAAGTGTCTCAAGGAAGACAGTGTGATCAACTGTTACATGCTGCTGATCGTGTTGATTAAGATGGAGAGTGAGCACTGCTACTGGATGTTAAGACCTCCTTAGCAGAAACAGATGCTATGTCCCAGCACTATATGAACGGTATCTGATTCAATCCTCATGACAACCCAATGAGGTAGGTAATATCTACTGCAGTTTTAAAGAGAAGGACATTAAATTGAGAACTGAAGGAACTTGCCTTTGGTCACAGAGTTTGGGTTTGTTTGTTAGATTCTAATAACAAGGATGAACACAGTTCCATCTTACTCAAAAGCCTGTGCTCTTTACACCACATCATTCTATAGAAGATGGGTAGAATCATTGGCTACACATTGATAGCTCCAGTCTCTGATGATAGTTCTGTAAGATTAATATGCCTGCAGTAGCGTTGGACACTAAGACACTGATTCTATTCACTGACTCTATCCAACTCAACCCTTCATTTTACAGAACAACAACCAAGGTCCAGAGAAGGAAACTGATTTGTCTAATAGCACATCACTTGTGATTCCAGGTCCCTTGACTCAAATTTTACTGCTTGTTCTATTTCAGTTTATGGTTTTCCAAAAAGTCCTTTAAGGTCAAAACTCCTTTCCACATAGCTAGTCTGGATGCAGAGGGACTGGGAGAAGCACCACTCTCTCAGGCCTGGAGAATTGGCAGAAGAGAAAGAAGAGGCAAAAGATTATGAGACCCAGTCAGAGGAAGAGGGCAGCATTCCATCCATGCAGGAAGCATTGCCTATCCTGGGACGTGACTGGTAAGGGGTTATCCTGAAAGACGGGCACATCCTTACAGGGGCTAAGAGGCCCTGGGCTGGGCCAAAGGGGAAAGTGTGAAGTGAATACACCCTGGAATATATTCCCATGACCCCCATATAGTTTCTCTCTTCTAACAGATTTAGAGTATTTATGCCAAGTACTAGGTATTTTCTTTTTTTTTTTTAATTTCTTTTTATTTTACTTTTGAGAGAGAGAGACAGAGCGTGAGCAGGGGAGGAGCAGAGAGAGTGGGAGACACAGGATCCGAAGCAGGCTCCAGGCTCTGAGCTGTCAGCCCAGAGCCTGATGCAGGGCCCAAACCCACAAACCATGAGATCGTTACCTGAGCTGAAGTCGGAGGCTTAACTGACTGAGCCACCCAGGCGCCCCTTCTTTGTTTTTTAATATGCAAAAATATTATTTTTTAAAAAGCTAAAGAATAAAGGTTATATACAAAAGGGACCTGAAATCTTTAAGCTGATTCTAAAGATGAAATGAGTAGAAAATCTGTGGTGAAACCAGAACATTCCACCCCTGTTTTGGAAAAGGGCTATTATACAACATTCAGTCAGGTGAGGATGGATTGGTAGAGAGGTATCTATATATACATTTTCAAATCATTTTTGCTTCTGCAGAATCATCCAGATCTTCTCAAGACTGAATGGGCAATCCTGTGGCTTAATTCCTTTTCCATAGTCCCAACAAGGCCACATGACATTCAACTCTTGATGAACCACTTACAACAGCAGTTCCTTAAGCGCCAACACAACAGGTGGGGCAGATTTCCCTATGAGAAACTGGCCACCTACAGCAAAGTATCAAAACGGACAAAGTCCTTCTTTCCTCTTCCTTCTGATTATTATACCAGGTATTTTCTAAGCATTATCTCTAATCATCACAAAAATCCCGCCTTTAGATAAAGTAAGTAAAATGCAAAGACTTGATAAGCAGTGGATCCAGTATTTGATCTCAGGTCTGTTGGATCCCAGTGCCCACTTTCATCCGCTACATTACACATTCAGACATACTACATGATAAAATCATCATGGGAGTATATAATCTTAATTCAGATATGGCTGGCATGGCTGAAA